AAATTGAACAAAAATGGGGAAATCGGACAACCCTGACGAACGCCACTTGTGGTCGGAAAGCTATCCGATAGGACACCGTAGACCCTGACGCGGCCTGTAGTGTTCGAGTATAGAGCACGAAGGATGTTCACATATTTCGTGGGAACACCTTTCCGCGCAAGTATTTCGAACAGAATCGATCGATCGACTGAATCGAACACACTCTTGAAATCGAGGAACACAGCTATTGTCGGTCTGCGGTATGCGTGGCGCTGCTCTAGCACCTGCCGCAAAGTGAATATATGGTCTATACAGCCACGTCCTGGGCGGAAACCGGCCTGCTCTTCCCTAATCCGAGATTCCCGTTCCGCAGTGAGGCGACGAACGATAATCGAGGCCAATAATTTTGTCACAACTGGCGTTAGGCTAATACCCCTGTGGTTAGAACAGTCTGTGCGACTGCCCTTCTTGTATATTGCCACTATAATCGATTCGCTCCAATTAGCCGGGACACTTCTTCCTTCCAGATACGTTCGAATAAGGAGGTCAGTGCTTTGCAGAGGACCTCACCTCCATCCTTAAATAGTGCAGGTGGGAGGGAATCCGGGCCAGCGGCACGAAAACGATTGAGGGCTGTGATCGCGTTTCGGACCTCGGCCTCCGACGGAGGCTCTAAACTAACCGTCCATGGCTCGTCCTGCATCACCTGAGTAGGAAGAGGTCCGGGAGCAGGGGGCCAGCTGAACTGATCTTGAAAGTGTTCCGCCCAACGAGCCATACGGCGCTCCTTATTGTGTATCAGCGCACCCGCGCTGTCTCTGATTGTCTCACTGACGCCTGGTTTTCTGGGACCAGTGCTGCGGATTAGCTGGAAGAGCTTGCGGTAATTGCCTACTGCTCCTGCCTCCTCCATTTCTTGAGCCCTACTGGTCCACCAGGCTTCCTTGTCAGCACGTAGGCTCTGCTTTAGTTCACGCCTAATAGCCCGTCTGGTCACATTGTGTTCAGAGCCAGCCGGGAGGTGCCTTCTAGATTCCAACAGGTTCACCGACCTCTCGGATATCCAGTGACTGGTGCGGTGACGATGGATAGTGCCACAAGCAGATGCTCCTGCGTCGTGCATGGCGGCCGAGATCCTATTCCACTGAAGCTCAGTGTCATTAGGACAAGACAGCGGAAGTTCGGTATACAGTGCTTCTTGATAGGCTTGCCTGACCGAGGACTGAGACAATTTCTCAGTTGCCAATCGTAGGGGACACTTGGTGCGCCTCCCGGTAAAGTTCATGGAGAAACGACAGCGTACCAAGGCATGATCAGAGTCGACACAGGTACTCCAGTACGAGCGGCAATCCAGGATGGAACTATGCCACCTGTAACTTATGGCTATGTGGTCAATTTGGGTCCATCGCTGGCCAGCTACAGGAGGACGCCAAGTGGCACTTCGGCGCCCACTGTGTCTAAAAGCAGTGCTACTAAGAAACAACTGGTGCTCCGCACACAGTTGCAGCAGACGCTCACCGTTGTCAGTCCCTTCGGAGTTAAGCCCACAATTACCACCCAGCTGAGCTTCTGAAGAGCTCAGACGCCCTACTTGTGCGTTCATATCCCTGCAAGTACTATAATATCTGAACTAGTAGCACTGCGTAGTAGCGCGTTCAGTTCGTCATAGAATGTGTCCTTGACAGCATTTGAACTGCAGTCGGTGGGAGCATAAGCGGAAATCACGAACAGCGTTTTGTACTACTTCGTGAATCAACCTTAGCTGATGTCGTCAAACGGGCTGCACATAAACGGCTGTTCACCGGAATCCAATCAACCAACGATGGCTCAGCCTTGGAGCTGAGAATGATACCTACACCAGCTTGACCCGTGAGTGCTGCATCGGCGTCTCCGGATGCGTGCAACCAATAACGAGAGGATAAGCCGGGTGCAGTCAATTCAATAACCCCGTTAGGGTCATTAATCCCAGTTTCGGACACACAACACACATCAATACCCAGTGTGTCCAAGGTGCGTGCGAGTGCAGCCTGTTGACCTGTTTGTCTTAGAGTGCGAACATTGAATGTCGCCATGGAAACGGGATAGCGTGGCCTTATAAGGGACTTCTGCCGATAGGTGCTGTGGGATGGTGGCTGCAGATGGTTCTACTCCAGTGGCACTTCGGTTGCTGTCAATTAAGCTGGGAATTATTGAAGGAAGGTTAGTAATGGGGGTCGGGATGGGAGTAAGAGAAACAGGTGGAAAAGAAAGGAGGCGCCAGCAGTAGCGTGTTTTCGCTTATCCGCCCTGCTGTATGCAGCAGATAAGGCGACCCTTGATAATCTGCGCGACGGCCGATGCAGGATGAAGTTTATGTTTGAAGAAGATGTCATGGTTGTATGTGGGCTGAGATACTGCCAGGGCGCCCAGACCTAGACAGGAGGACGATTAGGGTCCTCATCCAAAGCCTTTGGCTCAAAAGCCTGTCCGCGAGGCAGCGGGGAGGTGGCAGTGATTTAGGGTTACAGAAATGGACTCTATCCCATTTCAAACCCCCAACCTGGAGGACCAGGAGATTGATTTTGTCTGACCTCTCACCACTGACCAACCTGGTAGGAGTAGCCCTCAAGGTGCCCGGAGGCATCACCCAGTATAGTTCAATGGGTCAATGAGGTACGCAAACCGTCGCACCACGTTAAGGTCCAGTCTCTGTTGCTTCTATCACCTGCGAGACGTGGGTCATTTGTGACGGTGACCGTAGAAGACATAAGAGTAAATGTGGGTGAAGGACGGGAGGTGGGGTGATCTGTGAGTGGAGTTTGAGCGGTTGAGTCAGCACAGAAGATAGGCATAACAGGAGTAGTAGTAAGCGGTGTGGTCCATGATTCGTCAGTGGGCGTGATACTACCCGGTTGCCGAGGCCGAAGTGGAGGGTTGTCTTCGAGGGAACTGCCCCGAGCCTTTGATCAAAGATCTAACCTACAAGGCAGCAGGGCGATGTGAATGCGTCGCAACCCGTTGGGAGCCGGTGAGCAAATATATGGTTCATACGCCTTTCGGTCCGTGAAGGACCAGGGGCCCAACGCACCCTTAAAGTACAATGCCTCTCAGGGAGGGGCAAGGGGCAGTGACTTTATTTAGTGGCGAGTCACATCCGCCACGTCGCAGCGTTGTTAAACAGACATTTGTGGCTTTTTATAGGGAGAACGCTTGCCAGGCGAAAACCCACCACGTCCTGGAACACTGCCACCGAACCACTCGCTGGAACGGGAAAAACCCGAACCACCCAGCTGGCACCATAAGGTTGTTCGGCAGGCCAGCCAAGACGTGTTACTTCATCCAAGAAGCACAAGTTGGTAAAACATGACTTCTTCTTGACAAAGCCGTGTTGATCCATTCCTACTGTTATAAGTAACTAAGTAATCACAAATTCGGCTCCTAATAAGGTTATCCACACATTTAAGCGACACACTTGTGAGGCTGACAGACCTATAGTTGACGGGTACAGCTTTGGAACCTCCCTTATGTATCTCCAGTACAGATGCCTCTTTCCAGTCTTGTGGTGATCTGCCATCTTGAAGTGACGTGTTGCAGAGCTCCAAGACCGGGTGTTTGAGTACGTCAGCTAGTGGTATGACAGTCGCAGGATGCACATTGTCTGGTCCCGCGGATTTGTTGGGGTCTAAGCTTTCATCATTTTGAATCTGCTAGTTCCTTGTTTTCCAATTGATTTCGTTAACTATTTAAAACTACAGGTAGCGACACGCCGATACAAGGCACCGGTACGTTATCAGTAGCGAGGTAAGCCAATTGTGAATTAGAGGCAACAGAAGCCGCTCATGTACGATGACATGAAAATACACGGAAATTGAAGCGAGTCCGGGTGACAGGACCGAGGAAGACTAAGGGATGTAAAATAAGAATTCGGCTGAACCTAGCGAAAATGGAGGAAGACGGCTGGAAACTATCGAAACAAGTACAATTAGGAGATGAAGAGTATTGCGGAGGAAAATCAAGCGCCGATAAGAAGCAAATGTTTCCCAGGGACCAAGTGCTACACTTTTTAAATTAAAAAACAAACGCACCATAGGGTCCTCATAAGTTGATAGACCTATAATGGTTCATGGCATCCTTGTATGGATTCGTCTGTCACTGCGGCCACTATAAGACAGGCATAGGATGCCCACATCGACAGAGGGAGTATGGGTGGATTGTGCTGCATCACCCACAAGCCCATCCACACACCCCATATCCAGTGTAAGCCCGAAGGAATAAGACCGGGAGGCATGTGAATGGGAGCCACGTTTCATCTACGGAGCCGGCCCACACTTCTCCAACATGCACAGCAAGAGAATTCCGGTCTGTTTAAATTTGGAATCATGTGCACCAGGCGTACGAAAGTCGGTGGCTTGGATGTAGGCAGTTACGTACTCTTTGAGCCTAGCACGGTTCAAAGACCGTGGGACACATCCCACCAGTAAAGATTAGCAGTCTCCTGGAGCCAGCGAAGCAGGTGGATGGTGTTAAACTGGTAGGCACCTTGTCAACATTAATATCAAGCACAGCCACCCCGGAGATAGCAAATAATCGATGTAAAATTTGAAGGCAAATAAACACGCAAAATTGATGCGGAATATGCAGCAGAATAACAGGTGAGCAAATTCGGGTTAAGAATATCTAGATTAAGTGTAAGTCGGTGTAGTCCAACTGCGGGGAAAAAGTATGTCGCAAGCAACATCAACCTGAAATAAACAGTACAAGGAGTATAGCCGAAGCAGAATGGAATACAACTGAGACTGCATATAAATTGAGCCAATTTACAATGTGTTTGTACCAACATGCATATCACCAGTAAACAAATAAATAAATGGGTGTTTTCCGACGGGCGGGATATGTTCCCTATTGTGGAACAACAAAATACATAAAACCAAATACAACACAGCAAAGAAATGTCCATCGAATACTATACATAAGTTTTTTGAACGAAATGCAAATAAATTCGGGTAAATACAAGCATGTTTTTACATTTTATTGAGACTAACCTCAAGGAAGCAATGTAAGTGCTCATCTTCGAACACGGATTGAAAAAGATCTGCATCCTTTTCAGAACAGCCAGTTAAGCATTGCATTTCCTCTAAACTGTCCAGCACGGCGCTCACAGCTGATGGAAGCAGAAAACATGAAAAAAACGGTAGGGGAAATCAAACTGTGCTTGAGCACACCAACCATTTGTGTAAATCACGAAGGAGCAATAGAATCCACAATGAGGCACAAAAACTAAGAAAATATATAATTTTAACTCGATTCAGCCTCAATTAGATGGGGTAGAGACTAATATAGCATTGCTGTACCAAGTGCTGTTTGCAGATTTCAGTGGTTCAGTGAGCAAGGAGTCAGTAGGTCCCGAGTTCCATAATTTCCTCACCAAAGAACAGCAGCTTTTCAAAAGGGTGATCATATATATGTATACAGTGAGTGCACCTGATGACGTAAATAAAACAGTTCAAGTCTGATAACTGGTAATTCAGTGTATAAAAATTAGGTCGATATTACACAAGAGTCCAAACTGTATAACTGCGTAAACCTCGGTCACACACACTGTGATTGAAGTGTCCTATCTGAGTGGACGGATGGATTTAAGGAGTGAGCCCGACGTCTAACTGGAGACGAACCCAACGAATTCCAACACTGGACACAGCAGATGTAGTCGCCCATCAACACAAACCCGCTAATTAGCTGATGTTAGTATGCGCTACGGCGAATTCCTGATATAGCCAGCTTGACCGATTCAAACAAAGAAACACATAAGCCCAAAAACGTTGTTGTGTGTGGAAGTGTACGAACCGCTTGGCGATGGAGGCGTCTAAGTACGGCTTACGCTTCACTCCGGGAAAATGTAAAACGCTGCTCCAGGATTGGCAGGTGCCTTAACCCGCGCTCACCATTGCAAAGGCCAGCCGTGTATTCATCAAACTGAGACACCTATGGTGTCGTCGTGATGTCAGGCTCAAGCTTAAGGGCAGGGTGTACAATGCTTCCGTCCGTGAAGTACTCTTGTACGACTGTGAGACTTAGCCTATTCGCTCGGAAGACATGAAGCGGCTGTCAGTCTTCGACAATCGTTGTCTACTAATGATTGCTCGGGTGTGGTGGCAACATCAGGTAAGCAACGCAGAGGTTAGAGATCACGTGCTTGGAGCAAATAGTGCCAGTCTTCAGGACGTTATTCTCCGACATCGCATGCGTTGGCTCGGGAACGTTCTGCGCATGCCAACCCATCGCCTTCCACGTCGAGCGCTAATCGCACTCCCAGGGAGTGATTGGAATAAGTGCCGCGGTGGACAGCCAATGACGCGGAGAAGCATGAAGAAGGCAACCTCAAGTTTGGCGGCAGTCGGACCACTCCGTCTTCCAGGTTGGGGACCATGAAATGTTGAATCGCAGTGGTTGGAAACATTAGACGTCATGGTCCGCAACAGACATCAGTGGCATCAATGTTGTTCTCCAATTATATCCCTCCTTTAATAAACCCAAAAACTCACAAAACAAAAAATACAAAAATGGCGTGTGTAAAACCAAAAAAATTGTTTCCTATTTTTAATCCCAGTTCATGTTCCCATCTTTCGCACCTTTTTCTTCTGCTATGGTTCTGATGGCACAATGTCTGTTAACAGACTGCGAATAAATAAATTAAAAAAATAAATAAACAAATACATATGGTTGGCAGCATCCGGTTTCGGATTTGCCTGTCACTGTGGCAAGCCACAGGACGCCTGCGCCTACATAGGGACCACGGGTGGCTTGCGCTGCACCACCCACAGCTCCAACCACATACCCCATATCCAGTGCAAACCCGAAGGAATAAGACCGAGAGGCATTTGGATGGGAGCCACGTTTCATCAACGGAGCCGGCCCACACTCCTTCACAGGCAAACACAAGCACGCTGTATTTAAAGAATCAAGCGCACACAAGGCGGTGGCTGGACAGTAGTCCGCTCCACAGTGAGTGCAAGGAACCACTCTTTGATCCTAACACGCCACAAGGACCGTGCACCCCGCCCCCTCCAGCAACGACCAACTGTCTCCTGGAGCCAGTATGAACGACGTAGTGGGTAATAGACAGGTAGGCACCTTGTCAACATGCACATCAAGCGCAGCCACACCGGGGATATCAAACAACAGCCAATCATTTGAAACGACAAAATGGAATAAAATAAATCGAATAATGCATACAGATACGGTGGCATAACTCTTCGCTAAATTACCATATGAAGTAAGTTGGGTAGCAACGAATCAGCGATAAGGAAAATGTCCAAAAGTTAGTTAAAAATGCTACAAACGCAACAAAATTACCGAAGATAAGCGCAATTAGCGTAAGCAACGTGGCCAGTTAATAGAAGACTATTCGGGTAGGCAGAACAAACCAAATAAAGTGAAATGAAATTTATCCAGCTTAAAAAGACCTAGTTGAAGTGTAAGTTGGTTTAGCCCAACTGCGGTGAAGAGGCATCAAGAATGCAACATCAGCCTCAGCTGTGAACAGACTGTAAATAAATAAATAAATAAATATAATCATCAGTCTATAAGACTGACGTAGAGCCAGCGAAAACCATGCAATTGAAGTAATAAATACAGAAACCACAAATAAAAAGGATGGAAGTTACTAAACACACTGTTTTATCTTCCTTTGTCTGTTTAATGTTTGCGATGGAAATTAAGAAAATCAAGACAAACCTTTGCACACATTTTCCAATGGGCCCGGTTCTGCGCCATGTCTGATAGAGTTTCCAGCCAGCGGTGTACTTCATCTCTAATCTCCCAGCCAGGAGGACGCACGGGACCTACGACAGCTAAACTGAAAGTCAGGGCTTTAATCCTTTGTCGCCACGTGATGAGCTGACCATCGCGCAATTGATTCCAGACTGGTCCATTGCGAGCGAAGAGAGCGCGTCGGGGTAGGCGTTCGCATGACATGCATAAAACGTGGCTCAGCGGTACCAGTCCGTAAAGCGGAAGTTCCGTGTTACCCAAGAAGCAACGTCTAACATCATTGTTGCCAACATGATTCATCCACCACACCCGAGTTATTCTCCGCAGACATTCATTGTCATAGACCGAAATCCGACGCAAGTCATTCACACGAGTCGGCCAGGACTCATTCCCATACAGCAGCACCGCGCGAACACAAGCATTGTAGACCCTGCCCTTTAACAATAGTGAAACGTCACGGCGTCGCCACAGATGCCTCAAGTTTGCGAACGCCGAACGAGCTTTGGCAATGCGGAGGAAAATCCCTTTTCCAATGCTATCATCAACAGGGACACAGCTTCCCAGTTGTCCACTTGTTCAAGCTGCGTACCTTGAAGAGTGGGCACTGGGGCAGGTGGATGCCAATCCATGACCAGGAGTTTAGATTTCGTAATGGCAATGGTCATGCTAGATTTTGATGCTTCAATCACCAAGCGGTTTAGAAACAGCCTGTATGCTCTGTGCGTCATCACCAAACAAGGCAATATCATCAGCATAATCTAAATCGTCCACACGGTTGATAGGAAGAAACTCCAAAACAGAAACCTGAATGCCCTCGGTCGGAACATTGAAGAGAAACGGGGACATGGGGCAACCCTGTCGTACATTGATAGTGAGGGCAAATGGTGAAGAGAGTTTGCCGTAAGCCCTCACTTTACCTGAAACATTGCAATACAATGATCGAAGGATGGCGAGATGTATTTCGGGTACTCCATCTTTTTGTAAGCAACGCCAAAAAACTGGCAGATCGACGGAGTGGTAAGCGGATCGGATGTCTAAAAAAACAACGATAGTAGGCCGGTGGTAGAGATGACGCGCTTCAAGGAGTTGGCGGAGCCTAAACAATTGGTCTATACACCCTCGGTTGGGGCGGAAACCAGCCTGTTCTTCACATGAGCGCAATTATCGTATCGGGGTTAGTCTACGGAGTAGAATGGATGTTAACAGTTTGGAGGCAACGGACACTAGACTGATTCCTTGGTAGTTAGTGCATAGAGTACGGGAACTTTCGTGAAGATCAGGACGATAATTGACTCGCCCCCAACCGGATGGGACTGTTTCTTCACAACAGACCTTAGAGAACAGAGCTGTTAGCTGGTTGAAATTGCTTCGCTACCGAACTTGAACAGCTCCGGAGAAAGTCCGTCTGGGCCAGCAGACTTGAATCGCTTCGTCGGAGATCAAGACAGACCTCAGCTTCAGTAGCTGATTCCAATGAGATGTTCCAAGGGTGCGCAACTAGGTATACTCGTTAGGTTCGCCGGCGGAGGAGGCCAGCTGAATTGAGTGCGGAAGTGTTCAGCCCAGCAGTCTATGCGCCTGTGTAAGTTGGTGATCGGCGTTCCGCCAACATCGCAAACAACCTCACTGACACCGGATCTTTTGTGACCAGTAGTAGTAGTAGTGGTAATCTCAACAGTCTAGTAACTCGAGATAGAGCCAACTATGTGACCAGTGGTCTGAATGACCTGGAAGAGATTGCTAAAGTTTCCAGAGAGGGTTGCTGTTTCCATCTCTGAGGAACGCTGGGACTACCAAGTTTCGCGATAAGCACGCAGTCTTGGCTAAAGCTGTTGGCTGAGGATGTGACGCATTGCACTGCGATTTAAGTCGGTTGGGATAGCTCTACGACGGAAATCCAGCCCCTCAGAACGCGCCTTGTGATTACGCAGATTGAATGACTGGAAGATTGCATCGCTTCGCACAGAAAATGCCAATGATTTTCGACATCTCGAAGTGGAGTACTAATGAATGCATGCGACAAGGAAGCTTGATAAACTGCTCGAATAAAGAGGTCAGCTAACCTGTTGGTGTCGAGCGTATGGTGCTTTCGTTTTGAGGAACCGCCGAAGCGCATGCATATGTCCGCGCAGACCAAAGCATTATCTGAATCGAGGTAGGCGGACCAAAACAATATACAATCCCGGACGCTACCTCGCCATGTAAAGCTGATTGCACTGTGATCTATTTGTGACCATGGTTGTATTGGTAAAGAAGGATGCCAGGTGGCTGCACGTCTTCTGGTATGCCTAAAGTTCGTACTTGAGAGAAAGAGACGGTGTTCTTCGCATAATGAAAGAAATCCAGCACCGTTGGCAGAACGACTCTCATCAAGCGCGTGACTGCTATCAAAATGACGACCGCACGGAAGCAGGCGACCTACTTGTGCATTGAGATATCCGGCAAGGACGATGACATCTGACTTTTCAGCGCTGTTCAAAAAGTTGTGGAGTCCACGACAAAAGTCATCCCTAACCGATGCGCAGTTGCAGTCAGTTAGAGCGTAGGCAGAAACAACAAACAAATTGCGCTTCTCTTCACGATGTCTGTTGATTCTACATGTGCCATGAAGCCGAACCGAACATAGCCGGCTGTCGACTGGAAACCAGTCGAGTAATGCAGCCTCCGGTTAGTCACTCAATGTGATACCGACACCAGCTGAGCCGGCTGCTGCTGCTGCCTCCATGTCACCTCCATGTCACGTAATATGTGGTTTTAAGAGCAGTCGGGGACAACAATTTAACTACGGTGCTGAGATCCCGCAATCGAGTCTCGGAAAGGCAACAAATATCGATGGCGAGGGACTCTAGAGTGCGCGCCAGGCCAGTCTGTTGTCCAACCTGTAGGAGGGTGCGAACATTGAACGCTGCCAGGCGGGATGAAGAACGGGATCAAAGGATAGATGACGGCTGGATATCAGCGAGACGAGCGTTGGAAGTAGCTTCAACAAGTTGCGGATTGTCAAGAAGAGAAAAGTTGGCGTGTAATGAAGCATGAGTAGCAGAGAAAGTGGCAGCAGAAGTGAGTAACGTAGTAGCAACTGCGAAATTCATGGTTTTCACAGAGAACACGATACAACCCAGTTGCCTAAGACGAAGTAGGGAGTTGTCTTAGGAGATTCCACCCCGAGCCTTTGGCTCAATAGCCTACCCGCAAGGCAGCGGAGCGAAGCCATGGATTCACACCCATTGGGAGCCGATGACTGATTGCTCAGCTCAAACACCTTTCGTTTGGTGAGTAGTCAAACAGGGGCCCAATCCTCCACACGATGACAGCATCTGGCAGCTGGAATACAATGCTCTATTGAAGTGAAGCAAGGGGCATTTATTTAGTGATGAGTCACATCCGCCTTGTCGCAGTGTTGTTAAACGGGCATGTGGTTTGTTATAAGGAGAACGTTTATCAGGCGAAAACCCATCACGTTTTGGAACACTGTCACCGAACGATTCGATGGACCGAGACAATCCCGGAACACGCAGCTGACACCACGAAGTCGCTTGGCAGGCACCTGATGTAACCATTTATGAAACTAGGAAAAGGGAAAATGGCTGTCAAACAGCAACTATGCTACCAACTCTTGATACTGCGTCTGCGGTGGATAAAAAGATTAACTCCTAATCACAAAAGTTGGATAGCAGCCAAAAAAAGACTACCTGCGGAAGTAACTTCGTCATCCTCCTCCAGAGAATCCAGGTTATCTCCCGTCTCTCCTTCAGTGTAGAAACTGGCCCATTTGGTACTAGAGACTGCAGCCAGAATAGCACTCTGAAAAGATAGACACGGAGAAAGCTAACCTAAGATAATTGACTAAAATACATGCGAAGACTAAGTTTGGGTAACGGCGCAACCAAGTGCTATGAAGGTTCGATGTAAGTGTAGTGCAGAGCATCAAGAGACTGGTGGTTTAGCAAGGTATGGTACAAGTTGGTGGTATCCAACTTCATTATGAAAATAATAAGTCTTTACACGAAAAGGTAATTGATAGTCCGTGAGTAGTCTTGTGCGGGGATGAGAGTTAGAAGGTATCCCAGAAGAAATCACAACTTCCTAGATAATTTGATCGCCCAAAATAAATGACGAGATCAAGTCGACTGTTTGCTATGCAGAGGATTACAACCAAGCGACAGAATTATAAAGTTAGAATGAAATACAAGTCACTGACATGTAGGCTTGTGACCAACCGTTAGCATTGTTCGTTTTGTAAAAATGGACGCTTACTACCCGAAGCAGGCAACCTTATGTATGAAAGGAACAGAGAATAAATAATAGGGTAGCTCAGTTTGTTAGCTCGGTTCCATGTACCGACGTGCAGTGGAACCAACTGCTCTGACGCGCTTAAGCAAAATAACGATGATAATGACAATAGATGTAAGAACAACGAGTAGACAGGAATTGACAAGAATCAAAATGGTCAAATAACATAATCAACGGATCAAAATAAGAGAAAGACTGCAACAGCGCCGGTGACTCTGCGACAGCCCCATATCTGATAAACAGACTAATCGACTGTGAAGACCCCGAATCTAAGAAGAAAGTGGCGGCTGACATCCAACTACATGTTAAGAATCCTTAAGAACGCTTCAGAGTGGCGATGGTTTGCGTCCCATAGAGATCCACTGAGCTATGCTGGGTGCTGCTTTTTTGCAGCTTCAGAGCTACTCACACCAGATTGGTCAATGGTTAGAGGCCAGGGAAACAGCCACTTGGAGCTCCAGGTTGGGAGTTGGAATGAGGGCGGCACCTTATTCCTTAAAACGGACTCCTTGTAGCCGAGCGCCAAAACCCACTGCCTTGGGGGCAGGTTCTTGATGCAAAAGCTTTGGTTGAGAACCCTAATCGTTCTCCTGTCTAGGCCTGGGCAACCTGACAGTATCCTGCTAAAGCAATACAATGAATTTCTCTTCAAACAGTTTTCTGGCCGTCGCAGAGGATAATAAACGGCACAATATCTGCTGCACCGAGCAGGGTGGACAGGGGTTTGGGTGCTACTGCTAAAGCCTTCCCGTCTTCTTATTTACTCTCTTATGCTTTTTCACCCTTTTCGTCGCGTTCCAACTTCACTTGTATCCCCCCTGTTTTTAACCCCCGGTTCTTGCCCCCCCCCAAACATGCTTTGCCAGACGTTTATCTTACAGTTTCAACTCACATGCAAGCGCGGTGCGTCACTTCTGTCCTGTCGACAAGCGCATGTCTAACATAGCGGTCCACCCTAGTACATCGGCTTCCATTTGGAGCCCTCGATCCTCCTTCAGATTGGCATACCTCAACGTACGCACAGTGCTTCAGATCGGTCAACAGGCAGCATTTGCACGAAGTTTAGAGACCCTCTCCATCAATATCTGCTGCTTTTCGGAGATCCGCCTGCAAGACTCGAGCTCTGTGCTCACTCTGTGATCCCCTTCAAGTGACACCAGCGGTATTTTATCATTGCGCCTATCCGGTGATGATGCAGCTTCGAGCACCGGCCAAGCTTGTGTTGGCATTGCCCTGAGTCCCCGGGCTGAAGCTGCTTTGACTGACTGGATCCCAATCAGTAGCCGGATGTGTGCGGTCCGATTAGCTAGCTCGTTCAAAACTTCGAAGTCGCGCGGGACTAATAGGTGTCTATTCAACATCGCTGTCTACGCGCCTACAAACTGGAGCGATGATTCGGTACAAAACGACTTCCATCGCAAACTGACAGAGCTGCTTCGCCAAAGAAGAAGCATGGACACTGTTGTGCTGACGGGGGATCTGAACGCACAAGTTGGAAAGTTGTCCACTGATGAACTGCATCTGGGCGGTCAACATGGTGTAGGCTCCCGTAATGATAACGGTGAGCGGTTACTTCATTTGTGTGAAGATGCCTGCTTATTTCTCGCGAGAACTAACTTCCGACACAGCACCCGCCGGAGGTGACTTGGCGCCCACCAGCCTGGGGCGCAAATCGATCACACTGTAATCAGTTACCGATGGAGAGGCTGCATCCAGAACTGTCGCTCAAGTTGGAGCACATGTGTGGACACCGACCATGCATCTATGTGCTAACCTGCGGATGCGTTTTGGCGGACGCCCACAACGACTCTGTGAGCGCATTGACACCAGCCAACTGGTGTAGCCAGCTGTTCTAAATGCGTATCGAAATACGCTGACATGCGGATTGAGTAAGCGCTCACCGGAGACAATTGAAGGTCACTGGTTGCATGTTCACCACATCTTAATAGCAGCAGACAAATCCTCATGTGGTTAGTCTAATATCCAACATGACCACTGGGTCTCTTCGCGGGCTCTGGAACTTATCGATAATAGCCGGCGTATTCCGGCTGGAAGCGAATACAATGAAACTCGCAAAGAGCTCCGGAAAAAATTCCGTGCTAGACTGAAGTGAGACCGCGAATCCTGGTGGTCTCATTGTGCGTTAGGGATGAAAGTGACCACTGTCCTTGGTAATCATCGGCAGTTATTCCGTCTGATACGGGAAACTGGCAGCAGGAGACCGGGTATTAGTGAGACAATTCATGACGAGAGTGGACAGCCTATCCACAATTTGTCAAAGCGTTTGAAGTGTTGGGCTGAGCATTTTGGAAAGAAATTTAATCGGCCGGAATTGTTCGATACCTCATCGGCCAGTGATTTGTCTGCTCCCTGGGATGTACCTTTGGATCCGTCCTCTCGCTCAGGAGTCAAACGTGAGATCGGACTGTTGAGGATGAACAAAGCCGCAGAACCAGATGATCTACATCCAGACCTCTTCAAATTCCGGGGCCCTGCTCTTGTTGATGATTTACACGAATTACTAGTGAAACTGTGGCAGCAGGAAAATGTCCCAACCGACTAGAGCCGATCCGTTATTGCTCCGACCTTCAAAGGAGGCTCTTATTCGGAATGCAGCAAATATAGAGGAAGCAGTCTGAGCACCAGCCCAAATTACTTGCGTCTGTAGTCGTTCACAAATTGTTTGGCGTTCGTGAAAGCCAGATTTGTGAGGAGCAACCCGGGTTTCGTCGGGGTCGTGGCTGCATCGACCACAACCTCACTTCGTATCAGTTGTTGGACCACCGTCACACATGTTGGCGGCCCACCGTAGTCGTGTTTATCGACATCAAAGGTGCCTTCGATGCGGTTGATCGATGTGCCCTTTGGGACTGTCCAATGAGGAAAGGTGTGCCCGAGAAACATGTAAATATTATCTGAGCACTATATGCGCGTAGCACGGGCAGAGTGAGGGCTTACGGCAAGCTGTCACCACCCTTCAATAACTCCATCAGTGTGAGACAAGGATACCCGCTGTCACCTTTCCTATTCACCTTCGTTATTGACGAAGTCATGGTGATTGTATTTACAGGACACGATCGAGGTGTAAAGCTACTCCCAGGAGAACGACTCCTTGACTTAGAGTATGCAGACGATATTTCACTCATCTGTGGCAGCTCCCAGACGTGGCAAGCTGAACTTGACAGATTATCACTGGCTGTCAGTCGCTTCGAGTTTTGCTTTACACCCTCGAAGTACAAAGCTTTCCTCCAAGATTGGCGGGGATCATCTCCTGCGCTGACCCTCGCTGGGGATCAGCTAGAAGTCGTTCAGAAATTTAACTACCTGAGAAGTTGTATTAGCGTCATTGGGATCGAAGACGAGATCACGAACCGTATAGCAAAAGCTCGGGGTGCTTTTGCTAACCTTCGCCACCTATGGCGCCGGAGCGATATCACTCTCTCTCGCCCTGAAAGGATAGAGTGTACAATGCAGCGACCCTACTGTAGGTTACGAAACTTGACCCCTTAGATCAGCGGACATAAAGAGGCTAGTTACATTCGACCATCGGTGCCTTCGCAATTTGGCTCACATCTGGTGAGAACACAGAGTGAGCAACGAGCGTGTTCCATGCCTTATTTATGACAAAAAGGAAATGAATCGTCCAGCAGCGTCATTTCTCGCACCAGGCTCTGATGGCTCAGCCACGTGTTACGCATGCCAGCCCACCGGCTCCCGCGATGTGCGTTGTTTGCTCACCGGGGGTGTGGATGGAAGAGGAGAGGTGGCCAAGCGACGACTTGGTCCAGATGAATGAAGGCCCTCACTTCGGAGCTGGCCTCGGTTGGAGCGTCACGACTCCCTGGTTGGGGTCCAAAAGACGAACATGTTTGGCTAGATACACTTGCCGACATGGCTAGCAGCCGAACTCAGTGGCGTTCGTGCTATGAGTTTCTTTGTCCCTCCCAATCCCTTTTAGCCTCCTCCTCCAACCACCATTACAGTTCGTAGCATAAACTAAATTTACATAATTTTTTGTTGCTTAGTAGCTGGCTAGTAGGTTTCTGGGACGATGCCCAGCCGTTGCTGGTAGCTCAGCTGGGATGTAATCATTGCATTTAGTATCTTTCTTTTCTTTTAGGTATTGTGGCACAGTAGCCGAAGTGTTTTACACTTCCAGCTAACGTTTATAATGATGATGATGATCTCATGAAGCAGCCAACAAGAAGAATGGGAAGAACATAGGAAGTAATGGGGGCTGAAAAGTGAGCTGTTGGCATCGTGTGTGAATAACTACCTAGTAACTGCCATATACATACCATAATGCATGCCATGGTATAAAACACAAGATAGTGCTTGCACATCTTTTAACTTCAGTTCCCATGCCACTGGGTGGGGAGGAAAAGATATAGGTATAGGTCGACCTAGATTTATTGGAAAATAGTGATGACCCCTAGGACTGTAAAGGCTAATGGTATGAAAGGGTTGTATAAAAATCGCTTTGCAGGACACCGTGGAATGGTAAAATGCACGACTCCCGAGGAAAAGATTATATGGAATTAATGCGACATGAGTAAGGATTGTTAGACAGAAATTCAGACCCCCATGTTCCTTAGGTGGTTGCCCAATGGTTGGCGTAATCCAATTAGGATTTATAGGCATAAAGGGGTGGAACTGGCAAGTAACAATAAAAACAATAAAGTGAAAAGCTTCACTGCTGCCATGAGTAATCAGTAACCTTGCTTGAAGAAGAGTCAAAAGCACCCAAAGAAGAGGGGGAAAGAAAACCATATGGTGTACTTTGAGTCTTCTCCTCGCATTGAAGCGTCGCATCTCCTCCACAGTCTCGTGCAAATGCGTCTTCGAAGCCCGTGCTTTCTGACTAATCCAAGGGTGATGAAGAGCCTCCTCTATCGACATTCTCCGAACTGGATCCGGTTCCAGTAAACGCATAACGAGATCCCTGGCCTCCGTTGAGATCATGTTCCACACCTTCGGTTGAAACTGCAACGAAGAGAAGGTAAAGATAACAGATGACCGAGTTGCATCCCAGCCATGAAGATGCACATGAAACCAAGTGAATAAAAGAAAGACACTCGGATTTCGAAAAGAGACCTTAGATGAGCAAAACAAAGACCAGCTGATTGACTGTAAGCGGAGTGAAGAAGAAAAGGCTAGAAAAATGGTATAGCGTCCAAAGCGAAAACTTGGGTACGATACCAGTTTCCCCATGAAAGTGAATTGGGAACATTGCAATGGCTAAAGATACTACTTGTTCAAATCAAGCGAGGGCTAGGGAAATAATCAGGTTAAAATACTCTTCATTACAACCACCACTTGGTTGTTAAGGCACGGACCAAAAAGATAAAAGACTATCTAGCTTGTGAGCTGCTGGAGAGTAACAGTGAAAAATCGATTATTATACGAGCTGACCAATATATCCGAGTCAGATGAACAGTAACAAGAAAAAAGAATAGGTGACTTGGTGTTTTGTTGTAAGATCCTGGTTGCGACATGATCAAATATAGGAAATCCCTACTAGAAAGCACTCACGTGGTACCTCCCCGATACAATCTGTGTGAAGAGAACGTCACGCGTTCCATAAAATGGCAATGAACCGCTGAGCAAGGTGAACAGAAGGAGACCACAACTCCAAGCATCCACCGCCTTTCCGTAAGGCTCTCTTCGAACCATTTCGGGGGCCATGAAATGTGGGGTTCCGATACGTCCTGTGGAGATGGATGGCGGGAGCAAAATAACACATTTATCTTCAGTATGGAAAATGGATTAAATGTGGTAACAAACCCTTCGTTTCGTGTAGAAAAATGCCTCAATCATTAGTCAGTGGCATTTAGGTGGACGCTGCAACTAACCCTTCTTTAAGACCGCATGGAGAATACGCCAACCAGATGTCAGAAGGACGATTATGTCGAGTTTCAGATTGCACCGTGAGTTTATTAGGAAATAAAAAGGACCTGATCCATGCCCGACAAACCCTGACACTGAATGTACTATGGACGGAATCATTATGTAAGGATCGAATTCATAATGTTACACCAGCCGGTTAAGTAAGTCAACGTCTACTACTAACACTTGAACATTAACCCTAAGCTAAGCCTTAATGAACACTTGATAAAAGCAAGCACGTATTAAGGAAGGTTAGAAGGTTGCTGAAATTTATTTTCTCCTTTTAATATGTCGAATGGGGAATCCCTCTCAAACGAGAATGTTATCGGTACACACACAAGACGATCTGCCGAAATAACAACCTCCCAACCTTACGTCATACATCCGACGTTCGTAGAAGGGTCAAATGACCCAGCCCAACAGTAGGTGCTGCATTGACCTTCCTCAGAAGGGTTGGGTAGAAGCAGTTGTGCCTGTCACCAAAGGAGGAACATAATGAGTTCATCGAAACGCGTTTAGTTCTGTTGATATAGCCAAGTTGTCACATTATGATATCGGACTAGTAAGGGATGCCCACTTTACAGTAACAAATCGCCGTCCCTGTTCCCTGCCAGAAAATGAGGAAGATGCTCGGAGTTAAAGTGACATAGAAAGGTTTTGTGGGGACTCACAATGAATTGCTCAATACTGAGTGATCACAACTGCGTACATCACCAGCAACCGCAGCTAAGTCACAAAGTCAACAAAATATGTAACCCGCTGTAGATAACGGCAGCCATGAGTGCTGTTGGAATCACTTTTACTGTCATAACCGCAGACTATAGAACGCTTACTAAAATTCCGTTGTTTCTGGAATATTTGTAGCTCGGGTTGAAAATAAGGGTGTTCGGTTGCTTTGTGCGCTGCGTATTTTTGGCCACAGACGTTTCGTCGCCAGGCTAGATGACATCATCAGTGCGGGTTGGGTCTGGAAGTGGCCCCGGAAGCCGTACCGCTGATTTCACCCAGTCTGACAACGAAACATCTGTAGCCGAAATACCCAAGGTCGGGGAACAACCGAACGCCAGCAGCAGTTGCTTTTACTCTCACCCCGAAATTTTCAAAATGCGTTAAGGTACGGCGCCTGGTCCGTTGCGCGCTGACATCAACTTGTGGCGTTTCCGTGAACCGGCAGCACGCTTATTTGGCAGTATCAACAAAGCAGATGTATAAATGACAGTTGGAGCAATGGAGCTGTTATTTATCCAGCAAAAAGTACTCATCACAAGGATCACTTACACTAGTTCCAGTGTTTGATGACATCATTAACTCAATTAGCTATTTAGACATACAGAGAACTTGTTTCTTTACATGGATTGAAGAAACAATCAAGCATAGCAAAGAATACAACGCAGACACTATCAGTCCACTGAATTCACGAAGGCTGCTCAAATACTGAATTCGCACTCGGGATACGAAAGTAGTGGGAATGGGAACACTCATTCAAGCCAATGGGTTCCATGTGCTCAAAATCTCTGGGGTTAAAATGTTTCAAAAATCAAAAGCAAAGTGCTGTGATAACGTTAGCTTATAGGCTGAAAGATAGGACGGACAGGAGTACTCGGGGTACGTGCAGTGTAGCGAAAAGGATTACGGTGCATAACTCGTCCCCCTACACGCCCGAACTTATTTTCATGGTTCTCACAATGACGGGACCGCTGATGCATTGAGGTGTAGTAAATGGTTCTCTCCATCCGACTGTTGGTGGTGGGGACATCCGAACACGGTAAACTACGAATGGCCGGATAGTCGCTTAAAAAGTGATGCAACTCAGTATTCATATACCCATGTATGAAGATAGGTAAAATGAAGCTAATCGAAAACAAGTTGAAGCATCGTCAAGGTAGTTTATACTGTGAGTCATTGTTGGTATGTGCGACTGCCCCGTACGCATTGTATGTTAGCGAGTGGATGAATGGTGCGCGCATGATCGTAAGGTGACGGATGGTTGAGCACTCAGCGCGCTTGCTGCACAGTTCCGATGCGCGTTGATGAACAATTTCATCGAAAAGCAATTATCTAGTGGTGGTCGATACATCAGAGAGAACAAGACGGAAATGTTGCAAGTGTGGGCAATGAACGCTCAGAAGACGTCTGCTTTTCACTGAAATTATTCTGTTAGATAGAACGATTAGTAAAGAAAGTTAATTCGGTTAAAAAGACTGGGACAGGAAGCTGCCACACTCATAGTCGCCGGTGGAAGTAACAATTAAATGCACATGCGTGACAACCGACAGAAAGAGAACGTACCACATTGATCTGAACGCAATGATACAAAGATCTCCTGATCGACGGTGAGCGGACAATCTGCAAAAATGCAGTTGAAATCACAGTATGTATTAACATGTGTTCAGAAAATGGCGACCGTAGTAGAACGATAAACATCGTAAAATGGCTTCACTCGAAGAACCAGTTTGTCGAGTAAATCCAACAATAACCAAAAATTGAATTATGGGGCAATACAAGGTTGAGGAATCCAAAGAGTGAGAACGATAAGAAAACAACAGATGAAATCAGGCCGACTTTGGGGATGGAACTAAACAATAAGACCCGTGTAAAATGACGATATAGGCCACTGTATACCTTGACCAGGACAAAATAAATAACAGCTGTTTCATTTAGTTTGCGGGTTACAATATAAAAAGGGTAGAATAGTAGTTCTGGCTAAATGAAAATATAAATGAAATGTGTCAGCTTATACGCCGTAACGGCGCTTCGCTGCCGCGCGACCACCACCAGTCGCGCGCGGGCTGAGTATACCGCGAGGACGCCCACCCCTACGCGGATTCGAACCGGTGACCTTATGGTTGGAAAGCAAACGTGCCAACCACTCGGCCACCGGCCGACACCACTCGGCCACCGGCCGACACCACTCGGCCACCGGACGACGCCATTCGCCCTCCCATTTACACGGATTTGAAGTTCACTACAATCGCTCGCACTGCCAACAGTAGAACAAAACTATTGAGCCGGGTCGATTAAAGTGAGAAGTATGTTCGAGTGGGGGCGGTGGTAGAAAAAATGGGTTACCATAGGTGCAACAAAACACCAAATGAGATACGGCAAAACTATAGACAGTGGGGCACACATAAAACACAATGCATGGTTTGGATGTGCACAAAACCGGAAGTTGCTTCCAATTGCACAAAATCGACACCTTTGGTTCCTGGTTTTGCATCAGCAATGGATCGCCACACGCTTCCGATGCACTCTTCGCAAGTGACGCCTGATGAGAACGACAGAATCCAGCACAATAGATCAAGTGTGGTGAGCTCGACAGATGACTCGAGCATTTGATACTAGTGCTACGGTTCACCTTGCGTGTTCGATTAACTAGTAATGGGTGTCCACTAGATATGGGGCTACCTAGTGAAGCATTATTGGTCGAACATAAACGTGCAGTAAGTCTTCGTGAATCGGAGAGAACGGACTACACAGAGGAAAAATTAAAAAAGCAGCAGAGTATCCTATCGATTGTGTAGTAGCTGCGATGGTTGAGTACATAGACAAGTTTCTAAGTTATCTGCAGTGACCCCTAAATGATCCCCATTTGTTATGTAGAGCTCAAAAAGTGAGGCAAAATCACGACACTTCAAGTGAGCAATTGTTTTCGATTAATTCATCTGCAGATCTATACATTAATGTTATAATGGTTATAATTGTACGTATAAGGAGGAACCAGTGGATTAGATAGTTTAACTTGTGGCCATGATGCTGGTCAAGTAATCACATGAATGAAGTCACGTGGTCTTGCGGAGCGCAGTTACTTTCTTCCCGTTTGATGGTCGGCCACGGCAGTTGAAATGTCTGGGCCATACTCTTCCGAACACACAGGTCGGGGCTTGTTAGCCAGCCATAGGCGTAATGCTTCCGCAGTGGCAAATAGGTTTGATCTGTAGTGGGCTTCAACGGTGGGCGAATGCGAGAGTATTGAGTACGTAAAGCGAAGATAATTCTAGCTCTCAGTGAAAGAATGGTAAATAACCGGCCATCTTATTCAAAGGGATCTGTAAAAGTGGGGCGTGCTGCAGACTGAAACGTGGGTATTAACATAACAGGGCTAGAAATAGTCGATTAAGAGGAGAAAACTCACCTCCAGGTATTTCACCCGCATTCGGATCGATGTGGATGGCTAGACCAAAACCACCCAGTTTGACTGGAGCGGAATTCTCTTGACTAGCCAACACGACGCAGTGTGGCTTCAAGTCGCGATGAATGACGTTGTTTTCGTGACAGTACCGGACAGCCTCCAGAACCTGACGTAGATAGTGGCTGCACACATGAAACGGAAAGCCTTGTTGAAGATGACGCTCCGGGTAGACACAACGTTAACATCAGGCCTATTCACGGGAAAAACCCTGCATAAACTACTTCAGTTTTTCTTAAAAATGATAATGTTCACAGGTGGTAAATAGAAGTGAAGCGACACATTAAAGGTAGGAGGACGAAGAGGAGAATCGCACTGGGCCTTCATGTTTAGCTTCGATAAGTAAACAAAGGATCTTAAAGCCCAAGACGTAAAAGAGCTGTTAAAAAAAATAAAAAAACGAATATGTAAGATAAATGCGTGAACAAGAGGTGTGAATGACTACAGTAATATCGCGGCACAGAATCCAATTCTGAACTAGAAGTAACCACATACGGGAACCCTAGACATGCTGGTCAAAGCATCAGTCTGATGCAAATGGATGGGTGATTGCAAAAGTGGGCCGATGCAAATTAGATGGAGGTTAAGTAATAAATTCCAGCGCGGTGAAAGC